AGGATTATACTGCTGTGGGATGCCAGTGGTTCAAGCCTATGATCTTAGCTACTCAGGAGGCTGAGATCTGAGGATCATGGTCTAAATCTAGCCCAGGCAGGAATATCCATGAGATTTAGACATCTGATTTGGTCCTCCTGTGAAATGAATATCTCTCACAAAATAAATGTTTGTGGTTTTTTAAGTAATGACTAGGAAGAAAAATAATGAATGACAACGAGATAGCTATTCAGGGAAACAAAAAGTTTTCTTCGTTTGACAATATTAAAGCTCTGTACTTACCTCCCTAGTCTTTTCCTGGTTATTTGGTAGCTGTTTACTTTTTAAATTCAGTTTGGGTTATGGGGTTTTTTCAGTGGATATTACCCTAAATCCATGGCTCCTGAATGACCAAAGCCAACCTTACTAAAACCTAAAGAAAGGATCCAGAATGAAGGATCACTGCAAGACAGAGACGAGGATAAAGAGATGAAGGTTAAACGACTCCTGCAGAAAAGTTAGACCATTCTTTCCGTCCCTCTACATTCTCATGAAAGTTACTTGATTGGACAGTCAGGTGGGAGATTGAGGCTGTCCTGGCCAAATGACATTGGCTGTGACTGTCTGAAAACAGCAATGTTGGACTCTTTCTGTGCAGTTCCGTTATGGTAATTCCTATGTTAATAGCAAACTTCTGACTCACTGGGGGCTCTCATGAAGTTTATGGAAAAGGAAAAAGGGAGGAGAAGAGGATAAGGAAAGGAAGAAAGGAAAGAAAGAAAAGGAAAAAGGAGAGGAGAAAGAAAGGGAGGGGAGGGTAATGGAGGGAAGGAGAAGGCAGAGGAGGGAGAAGGAAAAAGAAAAGGAAAGGTCTTACTTTGGGAAGAGCTGTGAGCCATTTGTACCCTTCATGTAACCCTCAGCAACTCTCTTGGGACAAGTATTTGTTCATCTTCATTTTGACACTATTGGTGAGACTTTGACCTGAGGAAACAAGACAATTTAGACTAAGGATTATTTATTACACTAATTTCGTGGTGGGATTATTTATTACACTGATTTAGTAGTAGGATCTGTCTTGGCAGGGTTTTAGGATAGTCTTTTAAATACACCCCTCTCTCCCAACAGTATTTCCTACCCGTTCTGATCCATCATTCTGCGCATGCATCCAGAGGTTTTTCATCCATCAGAATAACACTGCTTTGTTTGCATGAAATACTTTATGGCTTTCTTATGTATTTTCATCATTATGTGTTGTTGGGTTATAACTCAACTCTTTGTGCAGAAGCTGGCACTTCGTATCGTAATTAATAATTCATAAGTTCCAGAGAATTACTTTAGACCTTTAAAACCAAATATCTTGAATTTTAATATGCCCAGTGTCATTTCAGCTTCTAGTTTAAGGGAGTATATTCCGTAGCTAAGCTGGTTGTCTCGGGGCACCTTACAGAAGAATATGTATTCCTGTTTCTTGCACCTTTTTAAGTTTAAGATGCTTGAAAATATTAGAATGTAGGAATATTGCATATCAGATGTAATAAAATGCCAGTTGAGGGACCTCACCTATGGACAGACAGGTACCATAATGATGTTCAAAGCTCATCACAGAAGCTGCCAAAGTGCAACAGTGAAGGAACAAAAGGTACCTCGAAAGGCTCCTATTTAGTTACTAAGCCATGCTTACAAAGGCAAGCACTAAGGCATGCTTCTCAGCCTGTTCAGAAACCACAGTGAAAGCAGACACACAAAACTGCCCATGTGGCTACACTGGGCATAGAAACTCACAGCCTTGCTTTTGTAATCTTGTGCAGTGAACTGTCTGAGATTGGGGTAATGAAAACTTAGTAGGTATTTTTCAAACTCCAAGTCAGCTACGTAGTTGGGATTAGATTCTTTCCTTTCTTCCTTCCTCTCTCCTTTCTTTTCCTTTCTCCCTTCCCTCTCTCCTTCCCTCTTTTTGTTCCTCCCCTTCCCATCTCTTCCCTTTCCTCCATTCCCTTCCTTTCTTACCTCTACCCTTTTTTCCTCCTTCCCTTCCTTCCCTCCTTATTTCCTTCTTTCTTCCCTCCATTCCTTCCTCCCTCCCTCCTTCCTTTTTTCTCTTTTTTCGTCAGTCTTCCTTTCTCTTTTAAGTTGTAAGCAATGTATATTTTGTAGGGAGGAAAGACAGTTCTGAGTTGTTTTTCATCTCAGCTTTACATTGTCTTATTCCAATCAATACTCAGAAAATAAAGTCACCTGTATCATCTGCTTTCTTATAATAGTCGAATCTTTCTTCCTTTGGAATGATGACATTTCTTTTTTCAGCACCTACCCTTCTCAAAGAAGTGAGACTATTCACAAATTTATGTTTCCATAAAATAAGGTGTTGTTGAAAGATAGGATAATTTTCAGCTCCTCTGATGTGTACATCATTGCTGCATAAATACTGAGAGGAACAAGAGGAAATGAAAGAAGACTTTGTTTGAGACTAGAATTTCCAAATTAACAAAAAATGAATCATTCTATTTGAGTGCAGCTGATTTCACTAGAAATTAATGTGAGACTGGTCGCTGAGTTTCACAATTGTTTTGTGCTTGTATTTGTCATTGTGATGTCATAGCTACTTTCTGATTTTACAAACCAAGTCACCTGCCAAGTCCTCTTGCCTGCCTGGGAAATTGTACCCTCTGGGCCAGGTGGCAGGGCTCTTTCACTCGATTGTTTCAAGTGCATCTCTGACATTTTTATGATGCACCTGTGGATCCTTTTTAAACTTGAGATTCTAAACTGGTAGATCAGGGTTAGGACAGAAGAAATCTGTGTTTCTAACAAGCCTCTGATGATGTTCCTACTGATCATAAACAAACCTTTGAACAGCAAGATTTTAGAGTGTCTTCACTTAGAACCGTCAAATTTAGTAATGTGGCAATTCAAAGGCAAAGGAAAAAAATTGAATAGGTGGCATTTGTAATTCTAAGTACAGGTAACTGGATGTGTATTTTCATAAGGCTGGTCTGACTTCACATCCTACAGGACACAGCCTTGGTACACAGACTGCTTCCCTGTGCCCCTCAACCACCATTTTAGCAAAGTAATGAACAGCTTCTAACCATTGTCCTTGAAGATTGAGGCATTTTACTGTGTTCTAGACTTAATATGCCTAGAGTCTCAAATAGTCCCTGGTACCTGGCTAATTAATGAGTTGAATTGAATCAAACGGAGTTAGCTGAATTTCATTAAAACTATATAGAGATGACCTCTTTTTTATCCATTTAAAACCACTGTGTTGCCTTTAAGAACTTTATACCGCTTTTGTCCCCGTTTACAGTTCTGTCAGTGACTGATATATTAGTCCAGATTTATGTGCTGATTTTGAGACATGCTCATTTTAAATACAGCATGAAGAAGTAAATATCAATGTAGGGCTGGGAAGGTGGCTCAGTGGTAGAGTGCTTGCCTTGCATGCCTGAGGCCCTGGGTTCGATTCCTCAGCACCCCATAAGCAAAAAGAAAAAAGCCAGAAGTGATTCTGTGGCTCAAGTGGTAGAGCACTAGCCTTGAGCTAAAGAGCTGAAGGACAGCACCCAGGCCCAGACCAGAGTTCAGGCCCCACGACCGGACCCAAAAAAAAAAAAAAAATCAATGTAAATGAAAGGTAATGAAGACTCAAGAATTTCAAAGCCCTTTTCTCACTACAAACTACAAATACTGAACAAAATTCTATCCAAAATAAGAGAAGTTTAACAATCATTGCTTATTTAAGAGTTTTATTCTGGAGATAAGAACAAGGGCATTTCTATACCATATTTGACAGATCCAAGCTGTTTATATAAGACATTATTAATTATTCTGTGTCTTAATAAAACAAGCAAATAAAAAAATTCACTTGGTGGGGTGGAACTGGCGGCTGACACCTCCAATTCTAGCCACTGAGATCTGAGGATTGGAGTTCAAAGCCAGCCCAGGCAAGAAAGTCCGGGAGACTCTTATCTCCAATAAACTATTCAGAAAAAGCCAGAAGTGGTGCTGTGGCTCAAGTAAAGCACTAGCCTTGAGCACAAGGAGGCTCAGAGACAATGCCCAGACCCTGAGTTCAAGACCTATGACTGGTAACAACAACAACAACAACAAATTCACTTTGCAGCTTAAGAGATTTGAGTACAGTATTGTGCCACGGTATTGCATGAATGAAACTTAAGTATTATTTAATCATTGTTTCTTCTCAGAATTTTATTTTGCTTTAAAAAAAATAATAAAATTAGCTGGGTTCCAGTGGCTTGCACCTGTAATCCTAGCTACTTATGAAGCTGAGCTCTGAGGATCATGGTTCAAAACCAGCCCAGGCAGGAAACTCCATGAGACTCTTCTGCCCATGCTGGCTGAAACTAAATCCTCAGATTTCAGCTAGATTATAGGTGTGAGCCACTGGCACCTGGCAAAATTAACAGTTTTACTGAAAAAATTCACACAGAGACTATATAGTTCACATATTAAAAGTCTACAATTAGCATGTAGTATATTCATAATTGTGTACCACCACCATAGTTAATTTTAGGATACTTCCATACCCCCAAAAAAGAAATGGCATAAACCTTAGACATCACCCCCAGCCAGTTCTTACCTTCTGTCAGCCCAAAGAAACTGCTCATCTACTTTTTATCTCTCTATATCTATACATTTCATATAAATTATTTCATCCAGTATGTGGTCTTGTGGGAGTATTATTGAGTTGTAAAAGTTCTTTATATATCCCAGATACAAGTCCCTTATCCAATACTTGATTTGCAAATCTTGTTAGAATTCTGTGGCTTCTCTTTTCTTTTTCTTGACAGTGTGCTTTAACACACAACAGTCACTAATTTTAATGAATTCCAATTGTTGTTTCTTGGGTTGCTTGGTCTTTGGATGTCATATCCAAGAAATCAGTGCCCCAATCCAATGTTCTATGTTTTCTTTGTGCTTTTTTTTTAGGTCTTTTTTTTAGTCCTTACTCCATTTTGAGTTAACATTTGTATATTGTGTTCTCTTTTCTTCCTAAGTGCTGTGATCTTGGCTACCATGCAAGTCTGAACAGAGTCCTGAGAACTTATCTCTCAGCAGAATATAACCTTGAGACCTCTAGACATGAAGGCTTGGACATTATTGAGAATGCAGTTGACAACTTAGAGCCAAGGAATGATAAGCAGAGATTTATGGAGATGTTTCCTGCCGCATTCTGTCCACCCATGAAATTTGAGTTTCAGTCTCACATGGGTGATGAGGTCAGTAGAGTTGTCTCTTCACTTACACCTCTCCTTACGTGTTATAACTGAATAGATGTAACCATTTTCCGTCATTTTCTCTCACCTGCCTTTATATAAGATCTCAGCATGATATTTTGCCAAGATAAGCCACCACCACCACCACCACCTTTTAAAGTAAGGGTCATACAAATTCATGTGCAGATTGCCTGCACATGTAAGTACTCAACCAGCCCAGAACAGGCCAAAGTTCTTCAAATTTGTAGCATGTATCAATACTTTGTGCCTTTTCATGGCTGAATGATACTCCATTGCATTCACATTTGGATCAAAAGCAAAGCAGGTTTGGGGTTTCTTGGTACAACAGCATTTCTCTCTGAAGATTCTTTGTATTATTGATGAAAAGATTTCCACCCACCCCTCCCAGAAAAACAACAAAGGAAATTGCAGGGAAATGGAAGAGAGAAAAGAAGCATAAAATTTCTCTTTAGACTCAGGATGACTCCATCATGGTAAAATGAGCACTAAAAATTATGTATTTGATGTTACCTTCTGTATATATGAATTTAGCATTCTAGCCCATGTTACCAAACTCATTCAAACTAATTATGAATTTATAACTGCTTTTATTATTGTCTATGCACAGAGGAAAAACCAACTAACAGCATACATTGAAGAACACTTGGTAATCCATCTGTGCAAAGCAAAGCGAAAAACTCAGGGGAAAAAAAAGCCAAGCAATAGCATGAGTTCAAGCCCTGGTATCAAAACAATCAATAAATTGGCTCATGCCTATAATCCTAACTACTCTGGAAACTGAGATCTGAGGATCGAGGTTCAAAGCCAGCCTAGAGGAAAGTCCTTGAGATGCTTATCTCCAATTAACCTGCAAAAAGCCAGAAGAAGAGCTATGGCTCAAGTGATAGAATGCCAGCCTTGGGAGAAAAAGCCAAAAGAAAGTGCCCAGGTCCTGAGTTTAACACACACACAAGATTCTAGGAGTGAGATTTATTTGTTTGTTTTTAATCAGAGCTCTATCCTCAAGTGTTAGCCAGGCTGAGCAGTTACATTCTTCACTTGCCACTTAGGTCAGCTCTCAGCTTGAAACTGAAGCTTTGAGGTGGCTATTAAAAGTACAGGTCTGTACCTGGCCATGCCTGGTACATGCACATGTTGGGATCCCACCAAAGGAAACAGGATTGTGAGTTTGAGGAATGCCTGGACTGCACAGTGAGACCCTGACTCAAAACAACAAAAAGTCAGATATATTTGGAATCTTAAGAATATTAGTGTAACTCATGTGGCATCTCATGAAGAGACTCATACCTCTGAGGCCCTCTTGTAACTGTGGTTTCTGGTTTTCCATTAGGTGTGTCAAGTCAGTGCACAGCAGCCAGTCCAGGCGGAGCTCATGCTCAGGTACCAGCAGCTGCAGTCCCGACTGGCTACACTCAAAATCGAGAATGAGGAGGTAAGTGCTTTCTGTTCCACAGTGACTAATGCCCTTGTGGGCCAGAAGGCATGCTCTCATGGCTAAGCATGTCTGCTGTTCCCAACGCAGACCCTAGACCGTGTGCTACCAGGGGCCCTACCGTGCTCCCAAGAGGGAAGATGCAAAGACTGATGTTCTTCCACAGATGAATACTTGATCCAATAATAAGCTAATAATTCCTACCAGAGAGTCAATCAATACTTGTCTTTTTCTTTCCTTATGCTTTTACTTATGCTTCCTCCTCCTCCCCTCCGGACCTGGGACTTGACCTCTGGGCCTGGGAGCTGTCTCTGATCTCCTTTTGCTCAAGGCTAGTGCTCCACCACTTAAGGCACAGCTCTACTTCTGGTTTTTTTTTTTTTTTTCTATGATTAACTGGAGATGAGAATCTCATAGACTTTCCTTCCTGGGCTGGCTTCAAACCACCATCCTCGATCTTAGCCTCCTGAGTAGCTAAGATTACAGGTGTGAGCCACCAGCGCTCCGGTGCTTTAATTTTTTGACAGTGAACCTTGGCATTACTTATAAGAATGCATCATATTTTGAAACATTTTCTATCCTTAAATGAGGATAAAAAAGCCGACATATATTTAAGGGGATAAAATATAAAATATGAATTATATGTTGAGCCAGGAAACAATTATGTGACTCAGATGCTTGTTGGATCCACATTCTCCTAAAATAAAAATAGAAACACAAATGATTCTCATATTAGTCAAGGCTCTCAGTTATAATTTATAGAAACTCAAAACTCTTTAATTTCTAAGTTAAAGAGTTAACGTGTTGGTCAAGGTTAGTGGCAGCCTCTGACATTATTAGTTTTGTGTTGTATGATACTATGAATAAATGCTCTCTCTCTCTTCTCTCTCTCCCACCCCCCCCCCTTGGAAGTGATTTTTTTTTCTTATGTATTGGTAGGATTTTGAGTCAGGATTCAGAACCATGTGGTTTGCTACAGCTTTCCATCTCTGAAATAAAACTGACTTTCTATTGGCTGTCTTGTTATGCCTACTCTGATCTACCAATTACATCCAGGAAATGGGATTCTGAAGGCTAGACTAGATAGTGTAGCTGTAGGGTGAAGGAAAGGATTCTAATCCAGCACAGATGGACAGTACCCCAGCTTCCCCAACCAAAAAAATGGAAACAATAATAACACTTTTCTCCTGAGGGGATTGTAAAGATTCAATGACTTTGTGAAACTAAAGGATGATGAAGGACCAGAAGGTCCTTAACAAATGTGTCCTGTGAGTGACAACCTCCACGGAAATAATGTGTGCTAGACACACACAATTCCAGAAATAACAGAATGTGGAACAGAAAGAAACCAATTCAAGTTGGTCAAGTCAATTGTCAAAATTCATTAAGTACCTTGTTTTCTTTTAAGGCTACAATGTGATGTTTTGAGCTTTGTGTTGTTAAAAATAGTGATATGTTTCTAAACCATCATAATTTCACCAAAACCCATTATAACTTTCTGGCTTCCAGTCTTACTAGAGGAACCAAACCAGCCCTTATTCAAGACACAACTGGTGTGATCTTGCATAAAGTCCACAAATGAGCCTTTCCAAAGGACAGCTTGCTGCCCTCCTTGAAGTAGTGTCTGAGAGCTCAGGATTTTGGCCAGACACCACAAAATACTCACCTAGTGTCGTTTATTGGCCCCTGCTAGATCCACCGTTTGTATATCTAGTGGCTTCCAACTTTTTCATATCCTCCTGCTGTTTTATTTGGAGAACATCCTCTAAACTCTAGGAAAATAGTGTGTTCTTCACAGGGTCAAAACTGGCAGCCCACAGACTTGTTTTGTTTGGCTTCTAAAGTTTTGGCTTGAGGAAACAAAACCAGAAAATCTGGCAACTCTGGTCTTGTTACCCGCTGAAGGAAAAAGCTGGGGCATCACAGTTCTCCTTTGTCCTGGTCATTCAAATCCCAATTTTCTTATGTTGGATTATTGTTTGTATTAGCTCTCTGGCCTGTACAGGCGTCGGACTTGTGAATCCTTATATAAACTGCTGTAGACACATGGCAAACACAGGTTCCTTTTAAACTCATGGAAGCAGGTAGTGCTTTCTGGGGGCTAAATTATCATGAACATTAGCTCTTAAGACAGATAAATTATCCTGGTAATTTCTGCAAACATACCTTGTTGTTTATTATTTATTGGCAATAGAAATGAATTCATAGTTGGGCATCAGTAGCTCACACCTATAATCCTAGCTGCTCAAAATACTGAGATCAGTTCAAAGCCCCCCTGGAGCAATTTGAAGTTAGAAGAACCAAAAGAGTTAGAAGTAGAGGTGTAGCTCAAATGAGTGCCAGCTTCAAGTTAATAGGCTAAGGGACAGTACCCCAGGCCCTGAGTTCAAGCCTCAATACTTGTATGCACACAGGCATGGGTGCATATGCACACACACACTGTGCACGCACACACACACAAACACACATCCTCATTGCAATGAAATGGGTATTTTCAAAGAAAGGAAGAGTCGAGGGAGGAAATGATGCTTCGTACTTACGAAGGCATCCTGATAGAATAGAATTGTTTGGTTGTCATCTTAGTTCCCCTTGGGGACAAGCTAATGGCAAAGCTGAGGTCATATGATAAGAGGCTTTGAGACACAAGCTGAGGAGCTTTGTTACTATGGTTCTGTTCTTTCCTGTGTAATAAACATTTGTTGTGTACCTTTGACATCCCCGGTAATTTGTGACTTCTGAGGAATATGAGATTGACAAAACCTCAGTGAGACTGTGACTCACACGGGGGCAGATTGCACAAAGGATATGCACGGGGACAGCTAGAGTCCTCTGTGTGGTGTTCTCTCCCCCAGAAAGAATACATTTGCTTCTCTCATTGATGAGAGCAAAGGCAGAAATTAGTATCAAACATACAAGAAATAAGTAAGCAGCTCTCTGCCTCTGCACAAACTTGATGTCCTGCACTAAGTAGAAAAGACTTCAGTTGGCTAAAAATAGTTATGAATGCCCAATGGAAAGATCAAGGGACAATTCCATCCAAGTTTATGAAAGTGTGGACAGTCCAGCTAAGTGGACCATGAATCTTCGCGCCAAACCTTAACTAATATTAAAAGTAGTGAGTGCCAGTTAAGATCCCCTTAGAAGGGAATGTCTATGCTAAAATCCTGCACACCAGCCAGGCACTGGTGGCTCATACCCAAAGTTATTCAGGAAGCTGAGATCTGAGGATCAAGCTTCAAAGTGACCTTAAGCAGGAAAGCCCATGAGACTTTTATCTCCAATTAACCACCAAAAAAGCCAGAAGTGGAGCTGTGACTTGAATGGAAGAGCACTAGCCTTGGGCAAAAAAGTTCATTAACAGCACCCAGTCTCTAAGTTCAAGCCCCAGGACCAACACACACACACACACACACACACACACAAGCAAATCTTCCACACCATTTTTGGAACATGAACAATTTTTTTTGTCCTATAGTGTTTCATATTTGAAAGTTAGTTGCTGCTATTTAAAAATTGTAGGTTTTGTGTGAAAATGCCAATATCCTTCTCTTAAAAAAAATAGAAGATCTGGTCTTTCTGGACCTGTATTTCTACTGGAGAGTAACAAGCTATAGCTGAGTAATAGACAACTATCCTCAGTTATATACCATATACTTCCTGTTTGCCATACTTTCCAATCTGTCCACTTAGCTCTTTGTCAGACTTGTTTGGCTCTTAAAAATATTTGAGTTAGCAACAGCTGCATTAAAACAAAAAGGAGAGAGAGAGAGAGACAGAGAGAAAGCATACTTGGCACAAGTAACTCACAACTATAATTTGAAGGAAGCTAAGATCTGAGGATCATGGTTTGAAGCCAGCTTGGGTGGGAAAGTCCATGAGATTCTTATCTCCAATGAGCTACTCAGAAAAAGTTGTAAGTGGTGCTGTGGCTCAAGAAGTAGACTGTTAGACTTGAGCCAAAGCAGCTCAGGGACAGTGCCCAGGCCCTGAGTTCAAGCCCCAGGACTGGCGAAAAGAAGGAAGGAAGGAAGGAAGGAAGGACAGAAGGAAGGGAGGAAGGAAGAAAGGGAGGGAGGGAAGGGAAGGGGAGGGAGGAAGGAAATAAGGAAGAAAGGAAGGGAGGGAGAGAGAGGGGGAGAGAAAGAAAGAAAGGAAAGAAAGAGAGAAAGGAAGGAAGGAGAGAGAAAGAGACAGAAAGAGCAATATGCAATTGTGAAATGGCCTCAGAACGTTGCAAGTCATAAAAGGTTTGGGAAGGGCTTAATCTAATTTGTGGTTGATGAAGAGTTAGAATGGGTTGTGACATTTATGGTCACCTTACAACTTCTCTGTTTATCTGTTGAAGTTTTTGTCATGAGTCTTTGGTTTAATTATGCTGCATATATGTATCTAGTGAACCTCATGCTGAAACTCACAGTCAGTGAATATTCTTATTTTGGGGGGGAGGGGTATCAGTGATGGGGCTTGAACTCTGGGCCTAGGCATGGTCCCTCAACTCTTCAGCTCAAGGCAAGTGCTTTGCCACTTGAGCCACAGCACCACTTCCAGTTTTCTGGTGGTTAATTAGCTATAAGAGCCTCAGACTTTTCTGCCTGAGCTGGCTTTGAACCACGATCCTCAGATCTCAGCCTTCTGAGTAACTGGGATTACAGGATGAGCCACCAGTGCCTGGCGAAGTGAATATTTTTTAAAGACCACCTCGTACTGGGCATTGTATTGATGAGTTAGAGAGGAACCAGTTTGTCACCTAGCTTTATTCTTAAAGTCAACACTTTAAAAGCAAACTACACTTCATCACTGATACCTTTCTCCATTCTTACCATTTACCAGGCTTTTTCCAAACTAAGGTTGCGACTTCTCCTACCTGTTTCTTCACAGTTGGCTTTGAATTTTTGCCCTAAAACTTCTGCCTCAGGGTCATTCCTGTTACTACTTTGTTTCAAAGAAAACTTCTATCTGATTCCCAGGACACTGAAGTCCCCTTTGCTTGGAGTCCCTCC